TCTCCTGTTTCTTATTTGTAGGAAAAAGGCTTCAGCCTCCTAGGCCTTCCCTGAGTTCCAAAGGGCAGATTCAAACAGTTACTAAGTAGGGGATGGAGGGAATGCAGAAACAAAGAAGAAACAATAATGTATATCCCAACAAAGGATGTACATAACAATGTATCTCTGAGTGCTTCTATATGAACTAGGGCCTCCACCCAGGTGGAGGCTGGTAACTTCTGGCTGAACATAAGCAGGAGGAACCCAGACTGGTTGGAACCTGAAGGCTGATGACTGAGATCCCAGGAACACCACCTTTGTTACCTCACCGCCAACCAATCAGAAGATGGTCACACCCTGTAGCCCACACCCCAAATTTTGCCTATACTTTTCCTCCCTCCCCCCACCCCCCCCCACGTCCCCATTCCGGCTTTTTGAGCATAAGCTGGCGGCTCTCTTTGCTGGACCCTTGCAATAAACCTTTCTCTACTCCAAACTCCGACGTTTCAGTTTGTTTGGCTTCACTGTGCATCGGGCACACAAACTTGGGTTCGACAACAAGGACAGATATGAAACCACCATTTCCGTGAATACATAATTAATTACCATGTGGGATGATCCAAGAAGCAGAATTCGTGGTACTTGAAAAGGTAGTCTGGTGTTGGGGGCAGGTCAGGAGGGTCCCCTGAGGAAGTGAGATCTGAAGGGTGGATGGATGGGAGTTAGTCAGGTGAAGAGGGAGGGTCGAGTATTCCAGACAGAGAGATCAGCCTTTGTGAATGCCAAGCAGCAGGGAAGAACATGACATATACAAGGAATTGAAAGAAGCCATTGTGGCAAGGAGTGAGTAGTGGGAGAAGGCACCAGAAGGCTAACGGGGCCAGATTACACAAGATATTATGTCTTAACATCCTCACTTCAGTGCTCAGGCATCCTGCCTCGGACTGTTTAAAATGTGTTTGTGTGTGGAGGAGGGGTGGCAAGTATCTTTTGCTTCTCTTTATGACCCTTTAGTGGGGAGAGCCTTTTGACTCTGATGCCAAAAGCTCAGCTCCTCTGTACCACCAGCGCAGAATCAAATCTTGGAGACAGAGTTTTGGGTGAAGTAGAAAAGGAGAGCTATATTACTTTGCCAGGCAAGGGGAGACACAGCGGGTTCCTGCCTCGAAAAACTATATGTCCCAACCCAGGAGGATTTGATGAGGAGTTTTATGACAATACTTCCCAAGGGTGGGGTTGCTGACAAGATTAGCGTGTGTGCAGGGTCTCAGGTGGTCGGGTCTCCTAATCTTGATGAGCTTTTTTGGTCCCTTTAATCTGGCCACAGGTGGTTTCCTGGCTGCTTCTCCCTGGATTAGCAACTGTTCAAATCTGCCCTTTGGAACTCAGGGAAGGTCATGGAGGCTAGAGTCTTGCCTACTAGAAATGGGGGACAAAAAGGCCTCCGTGCCCGGGAGCCCCACAGGGCCCCGATCGGTTTCAAATCCTTTATAGTCTCCACAGCGTGCAGGAGAGGGCTGGGCATATAGTAGGTGCTCAGTAAATAAATTAAGTGGGTGTAATGAGAAATGAGATAGAAGCACTCTTATTTGTCGAAATAGGGGCTGACCCAATCTGGGGAGTGTTTCTCCCAAAGGCTCAAGAAGGTGAGGACTTTTGGTAGTATGATGCCACCTAGTGCTCCTTTTCATTACAACAACAAAGGGGAGCAGGGTGATGGGCAGTCTTCTTCCATAATCTAGAAAACTGGAAATGAAGCATTTTCTGGCATCAGCATAAACTAATTTGTCCAGGCGCCCATCCTTTCATTCACTCATCCAGCCTTGTTGATGTCCACATGCATCTCTTTCCTGTGAGTCGAACATGTCACGTTCCTTTCTACCTCCAATGGTTCCCTGATTTCCCATGTTCCGTCTTTCTGTCCCCACATCATAAGTAATACTCTCAGGAATCAGAGTCTAGATTCCCTGAGCCACCCGTAGTGCTTGCTGTCAAGAGGGCCTGTTGTAAATAATACTATCACATCATGTTAGAATTAATTGTAGATTTTCCTTTCTCTCTTTTCCCCAAAGCCAGATTGTGAACGCAAAGGGGAGTGACTCTGCTTTAGTCACCTTTGTGGTTCCTGTGGCCAACCTTGTGCCTGCTAAAGTGTTTTCTGGACTGAACTGCTGTCACCCTGGCAGTCATCCACTTGTGAAACGTCCCTTAGGAAATGGGGAGACACATAGCCCCACAATTGACACCAGTAGAAGATATGCGTGGCCAGGGCCCTCTAGGTCTTTCTTTATGGCCATGTACCTTCAGGAGTGTTATGGAGTCTCTCTGGATCATGGTGGTCCCACAAGCTGGTCCCGGTGTATAATCAAATTTTCTGTAAACACACAAAGCAGCCTGAGTCGTGTTTCCTGCTCCATCTTCACCTCGTTTCTATTAGCTTGGCTTAAAGTTTGGTTCAACCTGCTTCTCCAGCTTCATCTGCCATCTCGTTCACCATTTTCCTGCACATTATGCCTCAGTCATATTTTTGTTCTGTTTGTCCCAGATATACAGTCTCTGTTCATGAATGAGATATTGTACAAATGTTAATTTTCCCCAAATTAATTCATAAATTCAATGAAGTTCCAATTAATATTTCTCATGAGGAACCTGGAAAACATCCTGAAAATTATATGGTATAATAAAGATTTATGAAGAGCCAATGCAATTTTGACAGCGCAGGGATGAGAGTTCTGCCCTTTAACCACGATGACTGGCTACAAAACCATAGTAATAAAACCCTGTGGAACTGGCACAGGACTAAACCAGAGAGCCTGGAACAGATCCATTTATATTTGGGAACAGAGATGTTGAAAAATGGGCTCACTCCATTGAGAAAAATAAAATTGGATCCTTATCTCACACCACATACAAAGGTGAACTCCAGGATTACAGAACCAAATGTGAAAATGTACAATTATTAAGCTAACAGAAGAAAATGATAGAGAATACCTTTATGACCTTGGGGTTGAGAGGAACTTAATAAATTATACTAAAAAAGCATAAAAAGATGAAGGGCTATAAAATTAAAGATTATTGTTCTACAAGGGACATCACAAGCAACGTGTCCAGTCTTTGAAAGATTAATATCTAGACTTTACAAAGACCTTTTGCAAACTAAAAAGAAAAAGAGCAATAGAGAAATAGACAAAGGCTATAAATAGACAATTCACAGAAGGGGACCCCAAGTGTCTTATGAATGTATGAAGAAATGCTCAATTTCACTCATAGTCGGAGAAATGCAAATTAAAACAAAAATGTGTTGACACGACTTCCATGATACTGACAGAAATTTAAAAATTGGCCAATCAGATGAGTCAGTATTTGTAGGGCACTGAGAACAGTATCTGGCTCTTAGTAAACACTACCTGACTGTTTATGAATACATAAACTACCACATGCTGGCAAGGATGGGAGTCGGGTACAGAAACCCTTATAATACATGCTGGAGCGTGGTGCAGTGCAGCAGTTCTGGTGTGCCATCTGGCAGTACTTGGTGAAGTCAAGTACCCAGGGCTTCCACCAGGCTACTAGGTAACTTTATGCCATGGGAAAATACCGTCCACCACAGTGTGAATTTGAAGAATGCATACCCTCTGGATGGTCACAGCCTGTAGGTTCATGGCTTGACTAAGGGACAAAGCTTTTGTGGGAACGAAAGGACATGTCTTCCTCCAGCAGGGCACATGACATGGGCAAGGGGGTAGGGTCTGTTTTTCTGCCCCCACTGGCCCTCTGGCTGGATGTCATTGTGCAGGACAAGTTGAATTTGATGGCCCTGTGCATCTCCTATGGTTTTAACAATTTGACTCATAGGCATATATTTCAGAGGAGTTTGTACACAGGCCCATGAAGGACCACTGCCAAGGATGACCATGGCTGCATTGTTTGTGGTATTGGAGAGGTGGAGTCAGCCTTGGTATCCAGCACTTGGAGGCTGGAAGTAAAAGGTGTGGATGTCTGACACGGAAAGCTATGCAGCAATAATTAGCTGGGATTACTGGGATTACAACTGAAACAGGGGTAGAGCCTTAAAAAGAATGTTGAGTGAAAACAGTAGAAAACAAGATGATCCCTAAAGTCCAATACCATTACTACAATTTTTAAAAATGCACTTATGGAAAATGCTATATATTTTTCAAAAATATATATCCAAGCACAGTAGCATGAATTCCTATGGGGGCTGAGGATGAAGCATGGGAGTAGGGGTGAGGAAAATGAGAAAAAAGAATACCAGAGAGGCATCTTTAAAGAGTTTAATTACTCCAACCCTGCACCTGAAGTCTAAACGGGGTGGAGGAGGAGGGAGAGGGAGAAGGAAAGGGAGGAGAAAGGGTCTTTAGACATGACCCCCAGATACAGGCAGATTTTCACGATGTGGCTCCACATACGTTGTTTTTCCAGGGTACCTCGACCTCTGCACCCTATTTTCCTAACCACTAGTGGCTGAACCCTTTGGGGGCAGGGTCTGTGTTTTCTCTACCTTAGTTTTCCCCGTGTCCTGCATACAGTAGCTGCGTCGTAAGGTTTGGAATTGACTCGAACTGGGATTATTTCCTGTTCCCGTGGCCGAGTCATTTTGTGACAGGGGGCAGAGGGAGGCTGCCAGTCATTCCTTCATCCAGAACCCTCTGATCCACATCTCCTTCTAATCGTCAGCCCTTGGTACTCCGTTATCTGCTTCTGGGTCGTGCCTTGCCTCTCCTCTCTCGGGTGTTTCTAACTTCTGCGCACACCCTGGGACTCCTCCCAGCGGCCCAGAGGCACCGCCCCTCATCTCCCTGGCCCCACCCTTTACGGGATATTTGCGTGCGACTCTGAGGAACACCGCCCAGGCGCCGGCCTCGGAGGCTCCACCCCTTTCGAACATTCGCTAGTGCCTCCAGAGGGCATGGCGGTTGCTCGGAGACCGGAGGACGCGCCGAACGGCGGGTTTCCGCCCCCTGCAGGGGATAGAAATAACGTGGCGGCGTTTTAGACCCTGGGGGCGGTGCACAGCCCCTTCCTCAGACTCCGGCCCAGCTTGCGCGATCTCCACAGCGGCTTCTGAGGCGACCCGCAGAGTGCGTCAGGATGGCCGAGGTCAGAAGTCAGCGCCCCTCTTTCTGTCGCGTCTCGTTCGACCCCTCCCCGTCGTCTCACTTCTACTATCCCTTGTCACATCCAATGATTCCGAATATTCCCCCAGTCAACATCCTGTCCCCAGCCGCAGCCTCATCCCCCTCCCCCTTTCCTGTTGGCTCTGGCTCCATTATCTCTTGCCCCTCCTTCCATTGGGTGGAAACCGTCCCCTGCACACACACACCACCCTGTTAAACTGGCGCGGTGCTAAGTGCCGTAGGAAATTCATAAGTTTCCACACTCACGCATGACAGGCCCCCACCCCTAGATTTTGAGCCATAAGGTGATACCACAAGAGAGATACACACAGAAATATTGATGTCTAGCTGACTGGGAGGACCTGAAGAAGGCTTCATAAATACCCAGTGTCACTCCTGTTCACTGACCCTTGACCACCTGTCATGCCACGATTCCCTATCATCTGATCGCCTGCTATGACACATCTTCATGAAGCTTAGCCCATCGCCACCGCCCTGTGTTGTCACTGACCACTCTTTTACTATCTTAAGTCCTCCATTCACTTCCCCACTTTGTAGCGCACCCCAACTTGAGTCTCACTGATGAGAGGTTATTTCTGCAACCCTTTAGTGACCCCTTGCCTGTCCATTAGCACCCTCATTTATAACCTGGACAACCTCAGGTCCCTGTCATTACTTGCCAGTCACAGTCCTCCTCCATTATGGCCCTAATGCAAATCCTTCATCACCCCATCAGAGTCCTTCCCCATATTATTTTTCACATGGTCAGTCCCAGACAGGATCAGCTACGCAGTTTGTGGGGCTCAAGGAAAGATGAAAATGCAGAGCCTCTTGTTAAAAAAATTATTAAGAATTTCAGCAGAGCATTAAACCAAGGGTAGGGCACTTCTGAGCAAAGAGCCCCGTGCAACTGAATAGTTCACACACCCATGAAGCCAGCCCTGGTGCCAGCTTCTCTCACCACCATCATGCCCCCACTCCTGTTCCAGTTCCTTCTCTGGTCTCCTCTACACCATTCACATCCCCTCATCATTCCATCTCCTCCACATCTAGTCCCCCCCTTGCAAACTCCATCTTCCTGTGATCAACCACTCTCTCCTTATCATACAATCCCTCTCATACTCTCCATCTTCCTCCCTCCCCAGGCTCCATCACTGGCATCTCTCTCTTGCGTCCATCCTGCAGCCACACTTCTTATTTCTGGTGCCCACACTCATTCATGTCTCTTTTCTTCCCATTTCCTCCTCCTGTTCCTTCTAGTTCTCCTTGAATTTTTCCGTTGTTTCCTTTTGAGTATTTTCTCCTTTTCTCCCCCACTAGTCATCTTTGTGTATTTCATTCTTCTTCATTTACCCTATGTAAGCCCCAGATACAAATGCTATAAACTAGTTATTTCCCAGTCTCTCTTCCCTTTCACAATCTCCTGTCATTCCTTCATTTCTTTTATTTTCAATTGACCTCAGCCAAGTTTTCCTCACTTCTGCTTTCATAAGTTGGCATTTCCACGCTGGTCTCATTTTTCACTGCAGCTCTCTTTTCCTTTTTCCTTTTCCTTCTCTTCACTAATTGGTACTCCCAGCACCTAGAACATTGCCTGGCTAATCGTAAACACTCAGTAGATAGGTATCGTATGAAGGAGCATCACAGTTCCCTTCTGATCAATTCATGTTGAAATCATGCTTCTGAATTAGATAGCATTATATGCTGTAACAGTGTAGATACCAACTGGTTATTGGTCACAGCTAAGAGATTATTTTTGCTTTGCTTTTAATAGCAGTATATTTTAAAATGGCAACATAAACAAATCTCTTCTGTTCGTAAAAGTTTCTTTAAAACTTTTCTTTCTTTGATATTTTTCCATTCCTGTGCTAAGTGCCAAGTGTACAGGGAAAACCTTTCCTGTGAACAAATCGTTAGGCTAGTGATCAAGTGTTGACATTAATACCGTTTACAGGGATGGAACCTAGAACATTGCTGTGATAAATGTTTGTGTGTGTTCATGTTTAGCATCAACAAGGGGAAAGTACAGAGCAGCAGCACCATTCCTTAATATGATTTTTCCTCCTTTGTGGAATCGCTGTATTGTGATCTTCGCGATAATCTGCTTTTTAGTCAGGAAGAAAACCTGTGTTGAGTTTAACGTTAGTACTAATGCTGTTATACAAAATGTTATATAGATATGCTTGTGATTCCACATCTGTTTTAAGATGTGGACTCTGTTTTGTTTGCATATCATATTTAGAAGTGTAGTCAAGAGTACAAGTGTTTTTTTTAAAAATAAATTTATTGTATTTATTTATTCTGGCTGCATTGGGTCTTCGTTGCTGCACGCGGGCTTTCTCTAGTTGTGCGGAGCGCGAGCTACTCTTCCTTGCGGTCCACTGGCTTCTTATTGCCATGGCTTCTCTTGTTACAGAGCATGGGCTCTAGGCACATGGGCTTCAGTAGCTGCAGCACGTGGGCTCAGTAGTTGTGGCTCTTGGGCTCTAGAGCGCAGGCTCAGTAGTTGTGGTACACGGGCTCAGTTGCTCTGCGGCATGTGGGATCTTCCCGGACCAGGGATTGAACCTGTGTCCCCTGCATTGGCAGGTGGATTCTTAAGCTCTGCACCACCAGGGAAGCCCCAGTACAAGTGTTTTTGAAAAGCAAGAATATGTAGACTTTCTCCATGTTGGGCAAGGCAGGCTTGTCAAAGCAGAAGGTAAACTAGACTACTTACCCAAAATCTTCAGGGTGAGTTTGAATTTTACTTTATTATTGGGATTAGAGATTGTCTCAGTTAATTTCTTTGATTAGCAGTAGAATTTTTTTTTTTTTTGCTTTTTGTTCTCGTTTGTTTTAATTAATTTTTATTGGAGTATAGTTGATTTACAATGTTGTGTTAGTTTTGGGTGTACAGCAAAGTGAGTCAGTTATACATATATCCACTCTTTTTAGATTCTTTTCCCATATAGGTCATTACAGAGTATTGAGTAGAGTTCCCTGTGCTATACAGTAGGTCCTTATTAGTTATCTATTTTATATATAGTAGTGTGTATATGTCAATCCCAATCTCCCAATTTATCCCTCCCCACCCTCTTTCCCCTCTGGTAACCATAAGTTTGTTTTCTACATCTGTGACTCTATTTCTGTTTTGTAAATAGGTTCATTTGTACCATTCTTTTAGATCCCACATGTAAGTGCTATCAGATGGTATTTGTCTTTCTCTGTCTGACTTAACTCAGTCTGATAGTCTCCAGGTACCTCCATGTTGTTGCAAATGGCATTATTTCATTTTTTTTATGGCTGAGTGGTATTCCATTATATATATGTACCACATCTTGTTTATCCATTCCTCTGTTGATGGACATTTAGGTTGTGGAAGCATGTCCTGGCTGCTGTAACTAGTGCTGTAGTGAACACTGGGGTGCATGTATCTTTTCAAATTCTGGTTTTCTTTGGATATATGCCCAGGAGTGGAATTGCTGGATCATATGGTAGCTCTATTTTTAGTTTTTTTAAGGAACCTCCATACTGTTCTCCATAGTGGCTGTATCAATTTACATTCCCACCAACAGTGTTAGCAATAGAGTTTTTATGTTAAAGTCCTTTTTAGTGTAGAATATCAAAGCATAATGTCGCAAACATAAATAAGACCTTTCAAACCTTATCATTTCTTTGCTCAAAAGGCTAAGTGATTACCTGTGGCTTCCAGAATAATTTTCTCTGTATTCCCTAGAATGCCATTTGAGGTCTCCAGTCTGTCCCTAACTCTCTGTCTAGTCTCCTTCCTTTTCCCTGTCATATTTCTTGTACTTTAAGCTAACTTGAGCTTCTTAACCAATCTCAAATCCTAGATACCTGCTTGTCCCTGAGCCTTTGATGAAGCTTTGCCATGGGACAGGAATGCCCTTTCTCTTTACATCTACCTGTGAAAACTCCAGTCTCCCTTTTGTGCCTTCTTAAATGCCACTTCCTTTATGGAATTTGCTTTAATTCTTGCTGCTGGGAGTAATTCCATCTTCCTATAGGTTCTTGTAGAACTCTGAATCCATTTTATGGCAGGTATCAAATTCTATACTTCCGTTTTCTGCCCACATACTGCATCAGCTCTTCATGTATATATTTCCTATGGGAAGGCCGTGTAGTCCTTACTTTGATATCTCCTCCAGCCTCCATCATTCCAACTTACATACAGCAGATGTTCAATCAATATTTTCTGAGTAAATATATTAACCATACTCATTCTTTTTTTATTATTATTGTGCTGTATGTAGTTTGAAGTAGGGCATCTGTAACATAGTGCCACAAACTGGATGGCTTAACAGCATAAATTTATTATTTCACAGTTCTGGAGGCCACGAAGTCTGAAATCAAGGTGTCCGCAGAGCCATGCTCTGAGACTGAGTAAAATCTTTCCTTGCTTCTTCCTAGCTTTTGGTGGTAGCCAGCAACCCTTAACTTTCCTTGGCTTGCAGCTATACCAGCCTAATGTCTCCCTTCACTGGTCACATGGAGTTCTCGTGTGGGGGGTAGGGTGTGTATGTATCCAAATGCCACACCCTTTCTTTTTTTTTTTTTTACACCCTTTCTTAATTGAGTTATAATTGACATGTAACATTGTATTAGTTTTAGGTGTACGACGTAATGATTTGATATATGTATACATTTCTCTTTTTCTTTTTTTTTTTTTGGCTGCGCGGCATGTGGGATCTTAATTCCCTGACCAGGGATCGAACCTGTGCCCCCTGCATTGGGAGCTCGGAGTCTTAACCACTGGACCGCCAGGAGATTAAATTTTCTGCCTTTTTATAAAGACACCAGTCACATGGTATTAGGACCCACCCTACTCCAGTATGACCTTAACTTAACTAATTGTATATGTAATGACTCTATTTCCAAATAAGGTCACATTCACAGTTACTAGGGGTTAGGACTTCAACATATCTTTCTAGGTGACACAGTTCAACCGTAACACTAGGGAAATAAGAATTCATATATAACCATATAGTCCTGGGTTATCATCTAAGTCGTAGTCAGACTTGCTTGAATTACATCTGTATGTTTGGGCTTACATTTTAAATAATTTGCTGCCCAGCTAATCATGGAAAGCAAATGTGAAGGCCCATGACCATTGCCCAGGGGGCGTTTCAAAATTCCTGTGGAGATGACCTAGGCTAATTTTTTAAGGGGTAAAAATGATGGAATATTTTTAAAGAGAATATTCCATGTTCTGGATGGGTTCCACTGTAAGTGTGGTTTCATGGTATCTATATTATGTCTGACCTCAACATACCGTGGCTTCCATCTGCAGTCCTGGGGGCAGTAAGAAGCAGGCTTGGAATAATCATAATAGCTCTCGAAATTTATTGAGTACCTGCTGTTTTGCCGGGCACTTGGCTAAGTGTTTAACATGAATTATCCCATTTAATCTAATCCTTAACACTATGTGGTAGAAAATATTACTATCCCAGTGCTACGTATACATATATACAGGTATTGGGATGAACAAGGAGCCTTCCCATCATATAGCTTTAAATCGTCTGCTTGTCAGTGGCTTTTATTTTGCTTGTACGAAGGTCTTTTATTCACGAATAATAAGTCAGTCCTGAATAGTGATGGGGTAAATATTTCAATCTTTGCTTGTATGGAGGTCTTTTATTCACGAATAATAAGTCATTCCTGAATAGTGATGGGGTAAATATTTCAATCTTCACTCCCGTCTTTGCCCTTTTGAACAGGAAAAGAGTGAAAAACTAGTGATGGAGGAAACTGCGTATGAAGAAATAGAAAGGGATTTTCAGGAGGTTCTCAGCGAACTTACAGGGGACAAAAGTTTGGAGAGATTTAGGGTTGAATATGAGAAGCTTCACGCTGTCATGAAAAAGTCTTATGACAATGAAAAGCGTCTGATGGCCAAGTGCAGAGAGCTGAATGCGGAGATCGTGGTTAATTCTGCGAAGGTCGCCACTGCCCTGAAGCTCTCTCGGGATGATCAGACCACCATCACATCCCTGAAGAAGGTCAGTGATCTTCTAGAAATGGAACCGATGGCGAGCTTTCATAAATGCATCCTGTACTTAAAACATCATCCTTTCATTATACTGGCAGCTCTAGGCTGGTAGTAAAAGAGTTATTAAATAAAAATTTACATGATTTATATATTCATTAAGCCTAGGGAATAATGTTAATTTTCAAAGAACTTAATTAGCTTGAGTGAATTTCACAATGCAGAAAATAAGGTAGAACCTTACTGGCTTGGTTTCTAAGAAATACTGTGTTCACAAAAACAATTGGCCATAAGTAAGTATAGTATTAGGAATATCAGTATGTCTTGTTTGACCCAAGATAAGTAATTAAATATCTTATGATGATATCTTGTAAAAGATCTTTTCATGTTTCTACGTTTTCCAATGTTTTAGGAGAGGTTACCTTGAGAATTTCCAGATGGTAGTTTTCATGATCTTTCCTCTTATCGCCCCTTTGCTTCTGCCTTGATCGTCCCATTTCCTCATAATGCGAGAACAGGGATTCAGTCTGGGAGGGATATTGAGGAAGTATGGTTTTTATTTACACTTTATTTTTTTCATCCTCAAGTGTGTTGCATTATTTTGAAGGTAAAACACAAATGTTCCTTGTAGATTGCAGGGTGTTAAGAGGTTAAGATATTTTAATTTATAATTGAAACCCTAGTGCTGAGAAATAATTTGCAATTTTTTTAGATAATTCCCTTGATATCATGCAATTAAACATACCCCAATTCTAATGAAGTTCCAAGACTAGTGCAAAATGTAACTTACCTGTTTTCTTAGGAACTGTTTTTAGTGTCTTTTTCTCTCTATTGTTATTTTCTTCTTCTCCTTGCAAAATACCAATATAAGAAGGCTTTAAATCATGTTATGATGAGAAAAGACCCCACTTTTTATTGTAAATTAAAAAACTGGAAATGGAAGTCATGAATAGATTAAAATATAATTGGTGAATTTGCTTTGGACAAGATTTCATATAATCATATTTCATTTAAATATCCTTCATTTGTTTTGCCAAAAATAGTACATATGGTTGCTACAGAAAAACATACCCCTTAAACTGACATTTTGTTTTGAATCACTAAATTATGTGCTGCAGTTACCCAAGAATCATCTCTCTCTCTCTGTAATGTAATAGCATGAATTTATTTAATTAAATAATTTCTTCCACTCATTTTATTCCTTGTCAACATAAAATAATATTTTCACCTCAAGCATATAGATTCTTACCTGTATAAAAGGACTCACATTTCACTTGATGAAATTTTGCAAGAAAATTAAGTGGCAGGGCAAAACTCAAGGCTGTTGCAACATTTACTGTCCTTCGTCCGTGTACTCGAATGGCTGTAATTCACTTTTAAGTATTTCTGTTAATATTCCACTTTGTATTCAGAATAGTTTTGTTTTTCCCCTATAAGCATTTGATGAGAAGGCCTGGGCTTGGGTTTCTGGAAATGGGAATTATCAAGGCTGTTGTGTACAATTAGGTGACAGCCAAGACCTCATTTCTATGGATGGCTCTAAAGTTCACCTTGCCATCCAGGAGCTCACTTGGGGCCTGAGCGCAAAATATATTTTTAATATGGAACCTATCAAGAACTTCAAATTTAGGACTTGGATCTAAGAGCATTCCTTATGTGATAAAGCTTTTTTTTTTTTTCCTATAAAATATCTGGACTTGGAAAGCACATAAGCTTTCATTTTCGATTTTGTAAACCTATCTTAACGTCTTTACTAGAAATAATACCATTAGTTATAGCAGCCCCTGTAGTATGTGAGCCCTGTGGCCACATTTACCTACCCAAGAGAAAATAGCCTTTGCCAGTATCCCCTTTAAAACTGCTTTTCAGTATTGACTAACTCATGTTGAACAATGCAGTAAATCGATATACATTTAATACATAGTGTATAACATGTGATCTTCTTTCCCCATAAATAGCTTCTATAATGTAGTTGTTTTATTATTCTAGTTATTCAATTTAGCTTGCATCGGGAACCTAGTTTGGTTTTTCTCACTGATATCCCATGACCCACCTAGGAAATTGAAAAGGCTTGGAAGATGGTGGACTCAGCCTATGGCAAAGAGCAGAAGGCAAAGGAGACGATTCTTGCCCTGAAAGAGGAAATAGTGAACCTAAGCAAACTAGTCGAGCAAGGGTCTGGACTCTCCATGGACCAGGATAGCAAGTAGGTCATAGCCGTCTTGATTCATGTTGAACTTGCTTTTGCAGAGGCCTCCTTCAACAGACAGCCTGGGGCTTGCCGGTACCATCTTGAATGTTCTTTGCGAATACAAGACTCTACTTTGTTGGGTTCCCAGAGACAGGTTTCTATCTATTGCCATTTTTTTCTTTTTAATACTCCGTTTCTCCATGCCCAAGAGCTTCTAATTCATGGTTATATCAAACTTCTGGCTCTATAAAATCAGTGCTACAGTTTTAAAATGAGTAAAGATTTTAACTTTATTTCTCTCAAACTTGTGTGGAATGGCTGACTTTCTACCCAGATTCCCAGCCCCTCCCATACACCCCCTGCCCCATGATTAGCCATATCACTATCCTTCCTACCACCTCAGATTCTAGGCCAGAAAACAGTTGCTCTTCACACTTGTTACTCCTTCATCCCTTAACGTTTCGTCTGGTTGACTCAGTCTTCTAAACATCACTTCATTCTTCCCCTCCTCCTATCAGCAGCGGCTCCCCTGTTCTCTGCTGGATTTGGCAGTAGACTCCTAACTGTTCTCCCTGCCTTTGAGGAGACATCTCCCCTCTTTACCATCTTCCATACCAGACTTATTCTTCTAAAACATGTAGCTACATGCTTCCATCTCCAGCATATGCACCTTCGACAGCTACCCATTTCCTAAGGATAAAGCCCAAAGTCTTGAACATGTCTTGCAGAACTCTTTGTAGATCTGCCCCCGTCAGCCTTGCGAGACTCACGTCCAGCAGCACCATGCTTGCTCATGCCTCCATGTCTTTGGACATACTGTTTTCTATGCCAGGGATCCTTTTTCTTCCCTTCTCCACTCAGTAAACAACTATTCATCCTTCAAGACCTATCTTAAACACCATCTTAACTTTATCACCGTCAGCATCTCTGTTCCAACCTCCTCCCAAGCCTCAGACCCAGTGACCAGGCAGAAGAGTCATTGTGTTCCCTGTTTCCATAGGACCCAACATCTCCCTCAAGTATGGCACTGATCACATGGTACTGAAATTATTTGAGCTTCTCTGCCCATTAAGCTGTAAACTCCTTGAGGGAAGACATCTATCTTTACCTTTCCTCCAGGAATCTAGCACTCTGTAGGGCATGCAAAACCTTGCATTAATTAATGAGCAAGGAATGAGCATACACTTCCTTCGGCATCCTTAACTAAATCTACCTGCTGTCTAGGTTTCTTATACTTTCTAGATACGTTTATCGAATGTTGAATAGGTAAAATAAACAGCAGATGTGGTGTTCATAATAATGGACTCTATTTTCTTATTGAAGAAGTCATGCACGATCAGAGCAACTATTGAAGAACAGCTGTTGAAGAGCATCGTGAGGGAACTGATTTGGTTAGGAGGAGTTTTCATGAAAATCAGAACATGATGAGGAGAACTGATGAAGCCATCCAATTCAGCAGTGCGCTTAGGTGTAGCTGTCTGTCTTTACAGTAACCTTAGAATTTAAGGTCTTGTTTATGGAGAAGAGTTTGCGGTTTTGAAAGTTCTTAATTAAACAATTATATCAAAATAGTTGGTCAATACATATTATCGAATTACTGTGTTTCCCACAGTCATTTGATGTCTGTCAGCTGCAAGTGTCTCAAATGCAAGTTCTCTGCTTTCTCAGCTCTAAAGTAGCTGCCTTGTTCTAGATGAATTCTGCTGCACAGGTCTTATCAGACATAGTTTTTCCACTTTCAGAATGAATACTACAGGGGTGTGGAAAGCAAGGAGTAGAAATCAGCCCCCCCAACTCTTCCACCCTAAATTTCACTCCTCAGAGATAACCAGTTATCAATTTGATGCCTATTTTTCTGGACTTCTATAAAAATGCCTATAGTACACACACGCACACACACACACACAGACTGTAATTGCTTAAAAATAAGAAAAGGGGTCATATTATGCATATTATTATTGGAACATCCTCTTTTTCAGTTAAAAACTCAGAAACAGGGTTTCCCTGGTGGCGCAGTGGTTGGGAGTCCACCTGCCGATGCAGGGGACGTGGGTTCGTGCCCCGGTCTGGGAAAATCCCACATGCCGTGGAGCGGCTGGGCCCGTGAGCCATGGCCACTGATCCTGCGCGTCCGGAGCCCGTGCTCCACAACAGGAGAGGCCACAACAGTGAGAGGCCTGCGTACTGCAAAAAAACCCACAAAAAAAACAACAAAAAACCCCTCAGAAACAGCTCCCACGTCAGGGCATAAAGATCTTTCTCTTTCACACCTGAATAGTGTTGATCCTTGACTGTAAGTCTTTCCCATGAAAACGAGCTCAGAGGATGATAAGAAGGCTCCCTGAGCAGATGGCCATTTTGTCTGACGCCCGTGTTCTTCTTTTTTAGTATCCGAGATTTGCTGAAGTTCAAAGAAGAAGTGACAAAGGAGCGAGACCAACTCTTGTCAGAAGTGGTGAAATTACGAGAGGCCTTAGCTCAGACCACTGAACAGCAACAAGAAATGGAGCGGTCCAGGGAAGAGGCAGAGCAGACCATCAGTCAGGTCTGCTCTGACACGGAGAGCAAGACAAGGGCCATTACCTTCCAGAAGGAGGTCTTGTCCTTCTCCAGGCTCCCTTCCGGTCTTGTTCCTTTCTCAGATTTACGACCCTCCCTCCCCCCCACCCCCCCTTGCCCCCGGCCTGGTCACCAAATGAAGCATCCATTGTTTTGCTTGTTTCTCTGGTTTGTTTTTGCAAGAGCAGTTTTACCTGAGTCATTCTCTGAGAAGTTACCAAGATAGGGCACTGCTTACATTTCTGGCCCAAGAACGTGTCCCCTGTGACAGCCAGGGCGCCCTGCATCTGGGGATGGTGAAAGCAGTTTCCCTGGCCTTTCTCCTGTGTAAGGAAGTCATCTAGCTGAATCCTTCTGAATACTTTTCTATAAAGCCAGAAGTCAAATAGATGGTATACAAGCGCAGGCTTGAGGAGAAAAACAGGAGACTCCTTTGATCATGAGATAAGAGAAGGACTTTTCATAGAATTTGGCTGTCATGATAAAACTGTAGTACTTTGTTTAGCAATATCCAGGACTCATGGAAAATACACTTTCATATTTAGGGTAGCTGGCTACATTTTATTTAGTTTCTATTGATGGAGAGTTAGATGAATTCTTTCCATGTTTGACTTCCCTAGAATTCTGGGCTTCCAGTATTTAACTGGATTTTATACCTTTCTTTGTGGATTTGTTCCCACCATCAGGGTGGCTGTTTGGTGCCAAGGCTCTGAAAAATAATACAGAATATTCTTGAAAAGTTTGAACATTGAAGTTCAAAGATGACTCTCCTACAGGAGAAATACTACTTCAGAGTCATTGCCCTGAAAATATCTGAGAGCGGGAGAAGTTCGGCTGGTTGAGACCCGTCCTGAGGGGCTCATCTCCCGCACCCCAACCCCCATCGTCCTTTCCGTGCCTGTAGTTCCAACAAGAAATCCAGCAACATCAGAACGAAGCTTTGCGGGAGACTCGGAAGAAGGAAAAACTAGAGAAAGAGCTCAAGCAGATTCAGACGGACATGGACAGCAGGCAGACAGAAATCAAGGCCCTGCAGGAGTACGTGCAGAAGAGCAAGGAGGAGCTTCAGAAGCTGGAGCAGCAGCTGAAGGAGCAGAAGGTGGGCTGGGCAGGGCTGCACCACGGGGCCTGGCCAGACAAGAACGGGGATTTTTGAATTTTCTTTGGAAAGCAGCAAACTCCCTTCACTGCAGAAGTTGGTGGATGTTGGTAACACAGCACGTAGCACTGTACTGTGTTTGGTCTTTGAATGGCTCTTATAGGTAGATATGCTCTATCCCCCCAGCCCCCTCCTGCCATGCTCCAACAGGTTAATCTCTTTTTATCCTTTTATTGATGTGTAACATACACGTAGAAAAGTGTATAAGTCACAAGTATACAGCTTGATGAATTTTCTCCCCTTGAACACGTCTTGGTTACCCGCGCCCAGCCTGAGAAATAGCACCCCGGGAGGCTCCTCGTGCCCCTTCCCAGTCACTCTCTCCCCAGAGGTCAGCGCTCTTCTGAATTCTAAGCAGAGGTTAGTTTTGCCTGCTTTTGTACTTTACAGAAATTAAATTATACAGGATGTACTCTTTTGTGTCTAATATCTTTCTCCTAATACCCTGTTTTTGAGATTCACTTATGTTGTTGCCACATAGTTATAGAACCACAGTATCCAATATGGTAGCCACTAGCCACATACAGCTATTTACATTTAAATTATTTGAAATTAAATAAAATTAAAAATTCAGTCCCTCAGTTGCACCAGCACCATTTCAAGTGCTCCATAGCTACATGGGGCTAGTAGATACCGTATTGGATAGTGCACATAGAGAACATTTAGTTCATCGCAGGAAGTTCTATTGGACAGAGCTCAGAAGACCATTCACTCTCATCGCTCTAAGCATTCCAGCCTGTGAATATAGCATGATTTATATTCAACAGGTTTAATTTTAAGTTTGAAGTTTGGGAAACCACACACTGTCTTTATGCGTTTTAAATATTTAAAAAACATTTCCTCTGTAATAACAGTTTAAGGTAACACAAATGCTAGTCTGTCTTTTCTAATTTCTTAAAGAAGAACCATTTCATCTAATTGAAAACAGTCATTTCTTGAAAATATGTTCTCTTAGGAAGTTTCCAAAGTATTTTTAAGCCATACATCATTTTTCTACTTAAAAAATTAGATCGTAGAACACATTTGTCAATTGCTTTATTAATTTTATATAAAGCCAGAAATCAAATAGATAATATGCAGTGTGCAACATCCATGAAAAAAACATGTGGCTTTCTTTGAGCCTGAAATTTGAGAGGTTTTTGGTTATCACGTTAAAACTATAGTACTTTGTTTGGCAACATCCAGGACCCATGGAAAATTTTATTTAGTCCCTATTGATGGGAAGTTGGATAGATTCTTTCTGTGTTTAACTTTTGCTTGAGTGGAAGTTATATATTGGAGTAAGTGTCTGCTAAGCCATCTTCTCTCTTTTTTTTGATATCCCTCCATCTCCCTAATATTTTCCCAATAGAAATGACTTCCCAAAATATAATCCTCTGTTTTTATAAAACCTTGTCTTCTCTGAATAGTCAAGTTGGGAAGGGGAAAATCCAACTGACACTGAAGTCAGGGAGGTAGAAATCATTCCACTACTACTCCACAGTTTTGACTTAAGTTGGATGAAGGGTAATTGTTTTGTGTTGGTGTGAGTGAATGGTTCTGTTCACGAAAATGTTGTAGGCATGCTAATGCAGGATTTGCTTCTGAAGGTACAGCTTCTGAGCCCCACAGCCGATAAAGCTTGTTCGGATCTCTAGCTCATCTGCAATGATTATAGCAATTGTTGTGTACGCTAAGCCTGCCAAATGGCAAACAGGCATTAAAATATTTATCCACCACCTGTGAACAAGACTTCCCAAGGTGCCCAGAAAAAAAAATTATGTTCTCTGTGTTATTCATTAGAAGGCATCATTTCCCCCAGCCATTTAACATTCATCATATTTGAGTGCCTTCATGCTTTCACTGGGGAGAAAGAACAATTTCTGCGAAGACAAAAAAAGTGTGGTTGCCGTGCTTGTCCCAGGAGGTCTGCATGGCCTCCTGCGTGGATGTGCAGCTACTGTAATCAGATTCAGAAGCATTGACCAGCTCGTTCTGCATCTTTCAGATACTGAATGAGAGAGCTGCAAAGGAGCTGGAGCAGCTTCAGACAAGAAATGCTAAACTTCAGCAAGAAAACGAACAACGTAGTTTGATCTGTGAGCAGCTATCCCAGGAAAACCAGCAGAAGGCGTTGGAGCTCAAAGTAAACACCAAGTGACCTATCTGTTCCCTAGCATGCCCTCCTTCATTCCCTGTTAATATGAATTGGCTGATGGTGTCCTAGCCTTTGGTTGGATAACCTGGATTAGCCTTGGTCCTTCAGAGGCAGGTGTAAACCTACAGTGATTGCTTTATGCCCAGAAGCAGTTTGATAACTTCCATTCTTATAACATTGCTAAGCTGCTGGTTAATCATATGACTGTGCAAATACTTTCCAAAGTGAGCTCAGGTGCTCACCTCTGTAATTTAGCCTTGCAAGTAACTTGAAATCCGTAGACAAAAATCTGGTGCTTTACTTTCCTGCAATTGCTGTTTTGATACCTTTTGACATCGTGTAGACTTGCTTATTAATGCTACCCTGTCCACCTGTCCATATATACAGCCATCCAAACCATTTACACATGTGAGTGGCAAAGAAGTGAGATTGTATTTCTCTACTTGTATGGAGTGAGAGGGGTGGGGGACGGACTGGTACTATTTGATATCTACGCTGAGGACTACAGAATCATGATTTTCACTTCTGTCCAATGTAAATTTCAAGATAGGTCTCCTATTCCCCCTGCCCTGATTGAAGAGTGCTTGCAAATTAAGTTTAGATAACCGTTTTATACTTGGATACATATTGTCTGCCTACATGCTTAGCAGAGCGGCTTTAAGTTTATCACCAATTCTGAAAAATCCATAAGCCCTACTCTAGTTATGTTAGAATACTGGGCATAAAATGAGTGACTAATCAGGAAAATACATTGATTCGAGTAGTAAATCTTAACAGTTTTTGCATCACAGCACCTTCTGAGAATCTGATGAAAGCGTGTGTGTGCGTGCACATACACACGCACGCACACTTATTTGCACATCTTGTGTCTTGTTTTGCATGCAGTCTTAGAGGTTTACAGGATTTTTCTGAAGTCTAACCATGGGGTCTGGATTAATTTTTCTAACCATGGGGTCTGGATTAATAACTACTGAATTAGAACATCTTATTGTTTTAATTGAAAGGGGACTTAGATGAACTAATTTGGACCTGGTAGGATCTGAGGCTGAGGAACATTTAAGCAGTCCAGAAATGTTTGACTCAAAACCATTCTTTATGAGAATGCTCCAAGTTAAAGCAGAAATGAAACGACTACTGAAGGCAAAATAATGTATTGGCCCCTAAGGTGAAATTAAAGGAAAAATACTTAGGCCAATAATTCTCTCCTTTGATGACATGCATGGGGCACCTTGAAAGATGGAATATTTTTGTTATCAGATCCTAAACCTATGGGATTCTGCTTCTAGCAATGATCTGAGGATAACGTGCCCAGCTAAGTGCAGCCTCTTCATTGTCAAGAACTGGGAATAATTGCTACTCTTTATTTGCAGAAGAATCACTAGTTGCTTTCCCAGGCATTTCTAAGAATGGCACATTTTTTAAAAAATGAATTTTAAAAAAATTCATAAAACTTGAAATCCATAGACAAAAATCTGGTGCTTTACTTTCCTGCAATTGCTGTTTTGATACCTTTTGACATCGTGTAGACTTGCTTATTAATGCTACCCTGTCCATATATACAGTCATTGACTAACATACTCTGAGGAAGGAGGGCCCCTTTTCTAACATATGTAATTGCACTACAGTGGACATGTGGATCCAAAAGACTCAATATTTTATAGCATGTTAATAACCTCCAAGAGAGATCACTTTGTGAGTCTATGAAAGTTGCTAATCACTACAGCATTTGTACACAAATTTCACACATTTATGATACAACTCAGTGTTCTTATCTTGTTTGATTCAACAATTCCATGATATCTTGAGGTATCAGGTTTAATCAGTCTTTTCAATGTTTTTAGCTCATATAGCCATATATTGTATTATGGCTTATATAGACTTTTTCGATTTCTCTCAAAAACCAAACAGTGTGTGTTTTGATTTAATCCCACAGAACAGCTTTACACTGACATAGGAACAGTGTCCTTTTATTGGTTGTGAGTTTACCATCATCCAGTCACTGGCTCTTTATTGACTGAGTGTCCCTGGTTAATCCTCTCTCACTAATCATAGGCCAAAGAGGAAGAAGTCCATCAGATGCGCCTTGACATTGGGAAGCTCAACAAAATCAGAGAACAAATCCATAAGAAATTGCACCACATTGAAGGTCAAAAGGGAGAAGTGGAACAGCACAAGGAAACCCTGAAAAATCAGATCTTGGGATTAGAGAGAGGTAAGCCAAGAATCATTTTGTGCTTTGTTTCATTAGTTTATGAGCGTTTCATTGGTAACCAATGTCATTTGGCAACTCCATGCATGCAAACACAAACCATGCCAAGTGAATTCAGTAAAATAACATTCAAACTGGTAAGTAGATAATATGGAGGAGACATGGTTTTGAATACCTTGAACTTTCTTACCTTAAAAAACTCTTCAACAGGTTATACTGAGCCCAAAGTATTTTTCAGTATTTGTCAATGGAGTAAATAGCATCTATAATCTTAGGTCTGGGTTCTACATGTCTTTTCCTTCAGTCTTCTTTTTTCACTGAAGATGTGGGATAAATTCAAATGAATATTCCGCATGAGCAGTATTTGAGACAATAGTATACCCAGAATCAGTGAGACAAAAATTAATGGCTTCTAACTCCTTTCTTCTGTTAGTACTTTACCATATGGCAAACACTTGTTTTAGCCAACTATCACATTGACCTGTGGAGGGAAAATTTAAGTGCCACAGGAGGCTGTGTAGTACAGAAACATCATTAAGGATACAAACTCTCGAGTCAAATCTACCTGGGTTCAGATCCCACCTCTATCACATTTAGCTGTTGGGGATGAAATGGCTAATATATAGAAAGCTCTTGGGACAGTACCTAGCACACAGTAAGTGCTTACTAAATGTCATCTATTGGGACTTTCCTGGCGGTCCAGTGGTTAAGACTCTGTGCATCCACTGCAGGGGGTGTGGGTTCGATCCCTGGTCGGGGATGCATGCCGTGCAGTGCGGCCAAAAAAAAAAAAAGTCATCTATTGTTATCCAGATATATTACCACTTATAAAAGTAGTAAGAGAATACTATCTCATTCTGAAAAAGAATATAATTAAAAATAGGATATGCTAGTTAAATATGGTGTGGTAGAAACAGCTCAGAGACTTGGAGACAGAGGATCAGGGTTTGAATTCTGACTGCACCAGAAAATGTGGGGTAGGAACACCTCATTGACCTCAGCTGTAAATTACTGACTGAGATAACATACATAGAAGCATAAAAATGTACAGTGACTCCCTAAAAGTTAAGTAAAATATAAATGTCTAGATAAGATTATTAGAAATATTTGTCACGTCTTTGAGAAGTGTGGATATTTTTCCTCCTAAGACATCGGAGATAATCTTTTACTGAGGCACAGTTGCAGCTGATATTGATAATTTCTCCATTCATTTATTCATTCAATAAATTGAGTACACGCTATGTGCAGGCATTATGCTAGGCATCGGGTGCATGGAGGTTCCTGCCCTCAGGATGCTTACAGTCTAGCATGAGTTTACAATCTAATGTCTTCAATGACGGATATGAAAAAAAAAATAGAACTAGTAGAGCATGTTTTGTAACTGGCTTAGTGAATTTCATAAAACACTCCATATTAAAATTTCTGTATTTTTGCTGGTGATAGTTCTAAGCTTTGAAAAAAAATTTTATCCATTAAGTATTGAACCCAATCCTTCATCCCTAAATCATGTTTACAGAAGTCATCGTGCTTTCTCTTCTGGTTATTTTACAGATATCGTTAACATCATTATTTCTTCTTACGGAGCACTTCCTTTTGATGTGCCCTATCAAAGAGTGACATAATGGTTAGGAGCATGATTTCCTACCACATATGTTATGATTTCCTACCACAAAATCCAAGAAATGAACTGAAAAATTGCCAGAACTAACAAGAGTTCAACAAGGTGCAGGTTATAAAATAAATATATGGATATCAATAGCTTTCTTTCCTACAAAGAACCAGTTACAATATATGATGGAAAACCCCCCCTTTCACAATAGCAACTAAAGTAACAAAATATCTATGAATAAAGTTACCGAGATATCTGTAAGACATATATATATAAAACACTACAGAATTCTTTTGAGGGGTATAAAAGAAGACTTGAAAAATGGACAGATACACCAAGTTTCTGGATGAGAAAACTCGATATGATAAAGATATAAATCTGTCCAAATTAATCTACACATTTAATACTTCCAAAAAAAGTTTCAGTGAGTTATGTTGCTTGGGACTTGAAAACTGATTCTAAGTTTCCTCCAGAAGAATACACTTGTGACCATAGCTATAAAATTCTGGAAAAGAAGAGTGAGAAGGGAGCATTTGCCTTACCAGGTGTTTAAATGTATTATAACACTTCAGTAATCAAATAGTTTAGTGAAAATGCCTGAATAAACAGATCAATGGAGATCAGAAAGGCCACAAAAAGACCCACGATTATCATCTAAGATAAAGGTGTCATTTCATACCAGTGTGCAGTATGGATTATTAAGAAAATGGTAGTATGACAATAAACTACTTTTTGGGAAAAAAGTTAAGGTCAAATGTAGGAACAATAAAGCCAAAATGCAGAGATTTAATGAAATTAAAGGTAATTTTTTTTTTAGCAGCAAAAGACTATATATGAAGGCAAATTGTCTAAAATATTGCCAAAGAGTTAGTATCCTTATTATATATAAGGAGCTCTTACCAATTCACAAAAAGGTAAACAACTCATGAGAAAAGTGAGCAAAGAGCCAGTGTGGGCAATTTGAAAAACAGAAAAACAAATAAATGATTATTAAACAGGAAAAGTAGTCTACTTCACTACTAGTCAAAGAAACGTAAATTAAATATGGACATACTGGTTTAGAAAAATCTATCAGGTTGTCAAAGATCAAAGAGAATGATAGTAACAGTGGTGGTTTGGGTGTGGATTTAAACTGCTATTAATTTTTGGAGAGAATTCGGCAGTAGGGGAGAAATGTCTTTAAAAAGAAAATCACTTTTGATCCAGGACTTCCTCTCCTAGAGGAACAAATGAACAGGAACTTTCATAGGATTATTGCTTATAATTGCAAAAAAATTAAAAAAGGAGAAGCAACTTAAATGTTAAGATGGGGATTGGCTAAATAAATTATACATTTTTATACAGTGAAATATGAAGTCATTAGAAATTCTGATGTAGATATACATTTATAATATAGAGAGGTATTTATTTTATGTTAATTATAAAACAAGTTACAAAACTGTATGTGTGGTATGATTCCCTCTTGGTGTATGTGGTGTCTAAAGATTCATATTTATATACACATGTATATTTGCATAGGAAAAAGTCAGAAAAGAGACACATCAAAATCCTAAGTAGATTCTGATTTAGAAAATTTTCCCTTCTGTTTATTTTTATTTCCAATTTCTTCCTGTATTTCTGATTACTTGTATAATAAAAAAGATTTAAAAAGAGCAAGGACTTTTTGAAGTCAGAGAGACCAAACTCCCAATCTCAGCCCTGCCACCTCTTGGCTGTGCACCCTTGGCATATAGGCCTTTAAGCCTCAGGGACAGGAAGACCTACCTCACTGAGTTATAATGAAGATCACGGAACACTCAACGAAAAGTAGTTTTATAGCTACAGAGGCACGAACCCGTGTCCCCTGCATCGGCAGGCAGACTCTCAACCACTGCGCCACCAGGGAAGCCCCTATAAAGCAGTTTTTATGTCACTTTGGCTTTGGCAGATTCTTTCTTAGGTTTTCTTTATATTTATTATTGTTTTTCTCCCTGGTGATGTAGAGGTGGAGGCTTCTAAGAAACAAGCAGAACTTGATAAGAAAGCAATGGATGAGCTTCTGAGAGAAAGGGACCTATTGAATAAGGTGAGTTTGTTACACTAACACTGGTAAATAAATGTCTTTCTTTAGTGCTATAATATCTGCCTATAACTGGTTGCAGGGGAGAGAAAACTCTGAGGCAAACAAAAGTAGATTCGAATTAATAATAGTGCTCAATTTTCCTCTAAGCAGCTATCCACATTCCACCATTCACTGGCTGTGAATTGAAACCGCATTATCACCTGTGAGCACAAAGGGACTTCGGAGAATTATCATATAAACCAGCAGGGGATTTCAGGGTGTCTTGTGGTTTCTGTTTTTATTGCTGGTGTGTTATTTGGCATCTTAGCAGTTGATCAAAATTTCTGATTTTAATACATTTATTGATTGATTGATTTTTGGCTGCATTGGGTCTTCGTTGCTGCACGTGGGCTTTCTCTAATTGCGGCAAGCGGGGAGGGGGCTGCTCTTGGTTGCGGTGCGGGGGCTTCTCTTGTTGCGGAGCACGGGCTCTAGGCACGCGGGCTTCAGTAGTTGTGGCACGTAGGCTCAGTAGTCGTGGCTCGCGGGCTCTAGAGTGCAGGCTCAGTAGTTGTGGCGCACGGGCTTAGTTGCTCCGCAGCATGTGGGATTTTCCTGGACCAGGGCTCAAACTCGTGTCCCCTGCATTGGCAGGCGGATTCTTAACCACTGCGTCACCAGGGAAGTCCAGAATTTCTGATTTTAATATCTATAATCTGCAACTTGTGCTAATCCAGAAAATACAAGTGAGTGCTAATAAAATTTAACTTCTAGGTGTTTGAAGGATGGCTGGTTGGCCATATAAAGAGTCTCTAACCTTTCCACCATCTTTTCAGGAGTGTTGTAGGTTTTCATTTCTGTCTTTGGCCCTTATTTTTCCTAGTCTTTGAGCTCAATATGGTCCAAAGCTGAGGGAGGGGTTGGGGGAGCTTGAGGCCTGGAAATCCTCCATTCAAGGCAGACCACTACCCCTTTCCCCTCCTTGCCCCTTCCAGAGGATTCCTTTGATTGACAGTCACTCTTAGGAGATTAACTACTTTCAAGGATTTAGGGTAAACATTCCTGCTCAAGGATTTCCTCCAGGGAGGAAAAAGCGATGGGCCAGGTGTAGAGTGGGCAGGCTGCTTCCGGAGCAGACAGCCTGATGGCTTTTGGCCAAGATAGCTTCATCTCATCAAAGTAGATACAGCCTATATTTGTTCATTCCGAATTTTTATTACTTCTTTAAGTTTCCCAGAATTGAATAAATGTTAACAAAGTATTGAATAGATTACCCTCTAGCTTAAAGTAGACTATTTAGGGAATCTCAGGAAATAGTATAAGATTAGATATCTTTACATGCTGAGCACTGCTTAAGAAAGTCATCAATTTTTTTTGCATAATCCTAGTAACTGTTTCTTTATTCTATAAATTTATATATGTAAATAATGTTGGATTTAGATTTTTAAATTTATTTGTAACACATACAATATTTAATCCATTTATATTTTCTATATTCTGATAAACAACCTATAGGTTTTCTGCCACAATAGGACACCTAACACATTAATTTTATACTTATTTTGTTTGATCTGACTACGTCAACTCCTTCTTTAGGGCAGGGTACTTTTTTAACTTTTTTTTTTCCCGGGCCGTTGCATCCTTAATGCCTGGCACAGCACCTGCCCCTCTGCAGGTATGCAGTCAACCTTTACTGATAATACATTCTTTCCCCACTGACTTGAAATGCCACCATTGAGTGAGTGAGTGACATAGTTTTGACAGGCGGCAATGTTAATATATTTGGTTCTTTCAGTGTCATGTTGAAGTGGCTTTATCTTTCATAGAGCAAATGTTTAATTCAATACTTGAAAGTAAAGTTGACCTTTTCCATCTTCTACATTGTCGTCCGACCAAGGTTTAACGTTCATTTTTTTTTAACCTGTTTATGCCAGTGGTTTTCAGACCTGGCTGAAGGTCTGTATTGGTTAGAGATTTGTGAAGGAATTATGAGGCACCTCATGGAACCCAAGGATACAGCTGGGCCTCAGGAACAGCTAGGAACCTGGCCTAACACTCTTGGGATGCACAGAAAGCTCTCTACCTCCACCACTAGACTTCCAGCTGAGTTTTTGCTTCATTTCTGTCTTTTAGTGAAGATCGTCTCTCTCTGTTTCCCTGTCCATATGGCAGAAAAAAGCTATCACCAGCAGCTCCCAAGTTTACATCTTCTACTGAGTTACAAAAATCTGGAGGCCCTATTTCAAAAGTCACTGGGTCCATTCAGCTGTGGCTAGAGAAGCAGACAAGCTCTGCTCCATCATGAGCGTGGCTGCCAGAGTTGCACTCTATTAACTCTGTGTTCCAGAGGAACAACCTGGCTCCTTGGGCAGCCAACCCGAGGCATTTCCATGATAGAATCAGAAACCACCAGGGCAGCTTTTTAAAAAAATTTAGGTGCATAACAGCTCCACTGAATCAGAGTCTCTGGAGTTGGGACATCTGTGTTTTTTAAAAAAACGGGTTAATTCTTTTTTACTGTTGTAAAATACATACAAAACAAAATTTGCCATTAGTGGCATTTAGTACATTCACAGTGTTGTGCAAACATCATGAGTCTAGTTGCACAACATTTCCATCACGCCAAAAGGAAACCCTGTACCTGTGAGTACCTGCGAGGTGGTCACTCCCCACTTTCCCCTCCTCCCACCCTTGGAAATTATGAATCTGGTTTCTGTTTCTGTGGATTTGACCATTCTGCATATTTATATAACTGGAATCATACAATATGTGACTTTTTATGTCTGGCATCTTTCACTCAGAATAATGCCTTCAAGCTAAAACCATGTTGTATCGTGTACTTCATTCCTTTTTTTTTAAATTTTTATTTATTTATTTTTGGCTGCATTGGGTCTTTCTTGCTGTGCACAGGCTTTCTCTAGTTGCAGCGAGCAGGGGCTACTCTTCGTTGCGGTGCACGGGCTTCTCATCGTGGTGGCTTCTCTTGTTGCAGAGCATGGGCTCTAGGCGCGCGGGCTTCAGTAGTCGTAGCACGCGGGATTCAGTAGTTGTGGCTCACGGGCTTAGTTCCTCCGCGGCATGTGGGATCTTCCTGGACCAGGGCTCGAACCCGTGTCCCCTGCATTGGCAGGCGGATTCTTAACCACTGGGCCACCAGGGAAGCCCTTCATTCCTTTTTATGGTTGAATAACATTCCATTGTGTGGATGTAGCACATGTTGTTTATTTAGTCATCAGTTGATGGACATTTGGGTTATTTTCCCTTTTTGGCTTTTGTGAATAGTGATACTATGAACATTCACATACAAGTTTTTGTTTTAACACCTGTTTTCTATTCTTCTGAGTGATATTGTTGGAGTGTATGTTAATTCTGGGTATCTGTATTTTTAATAAGTTGGTTTTATTTTATTTTGTAGTCAAAGCCTGTGTTACATGATTAGATTCAGCTGTTCTAACTTCACAAGAAAAAGGCAAGAGCTGGGACAGAGGTTGGCTTTGGGGTCAGCTAGCTCTGGATTCAAATCCTAACTCCACTGTTGTATGAACTTGTAGGCAAGTAGCTTAACTTCTCATTCTCAGTTTCCTACCCCTAATACGGGAGCGATATAGTGCCCACTTCCTGGGGATGTTGTCTCTTAGTGCATTTATATGTATGTCTGTAGTGCTCTGTGCTCTAAATAAGCTGTAAAAAATATGATTATTTTATTCATCTCCCAAACAATGCATCTAATTATTTTAGGATTAAGACAGGGAGTACATTTAACCAAAAATCTCCCAACATTTTGAGTAATGGGGCTGGTGTGTTGTCCTTATTTTTAGAATATGCTTAAGGCGGTCAGTGCAACCCAGAAACAGATAGACCTGGTAAAGCTCCATGAACAAGCCAAGAGAAACCTGGAGGAAGAAATCCAGAACTATAAAGAAGAGGCTCAGAAGCAGAGAAAGATTATCTTTCAACTGGAAAAGGAGCGAGATCGGTACATCAGTGAAGCCAGTGACCTTACCCAAAAGGTAAGCCACTCCTCCATGGTGTGGGTCGAGCACCGGCACATTCTTTCTGATTGTCACGTTTCTGATTGCCACACACTGTTGCAAAGATGAATTATTCAGATTTCAGCTTGTGGTTCACATGCAGATTTAAGATAGTGGGAAATAAGCTCTGCTAGGAAATCAGCTACTTCCCATTTAGAGTAAATAGATGCTGAGCAGATATTTGCAGAGTGTAAGCTTGGAGGAGCACAAATGCATATGGTCAGTCCAGCCCTGGCAGGACATATCTTCCTTGTAAAAGACCCCCAGGGATCCTCGTACCCCTGATTGGGAGCCATTGTAAAACAGCATATTTCTCTTGCGACTTTATCATTTAAGAACCTCCACTGATTGATTTACTGACTCTGAGAGGACTAGCTGTCAGTTCAGGCACTCATATTCTCTATCTTGGCTGACCTTGTTAGCCTCTGTATCAGTCAGATTAAGTTGTAACAAATAATCCTCAAGTCTCAGTAGTTTATAGCAACAGGGATCTATGTTTTACTCACATTATTGGTCTTTGAGAGTCAGCTGTAGGCCTGCTTCATGTCCTGTTTATTTCAGACTGACTCTGTTGGGATGTGCTGGCCTCTTACAGAGGGAAAACAGTGTAATAGTGGACCTTTGATATGCTCTCAGAACTTCTGCTGGCAAGGGAAGGGTACAGGGTCTGTCCACTCATATTTCATTGATCAAAGCAAGTTACATGATTAAGCCTGGTATCCCCAAGCAGGAGTGTGATCCTACTAAGGGAGGGGCCCTACCTGGTGAGACAGCCAGCATATCTGAACATATAATCTGTTGCAGCCTCCTACTTCTCCTTCCCAAGAGTCAGTTTTTCTCCACTCCTGTCTGCCATCAAGTTGTTAAAAATTCCAACCTGATCTTATTATTACTCCCAGCCTTACAAACCTCTGTCATCTCTCATCAACCTGGGGCAGTGCTTCCTAACATTCTTTGCATCACAGTATCATAGAAAATTCTGTATCTACAGTATATGGGAATGAGAGAGATGAGAATGTGCAGGGCTGGAGGGGACTAACCCAGGGATGCTAGCTGCCCAGGTCCCACCTGGCCATCCTGTGGGTGGTACATACCTGTATTTTGGTACATACCTGTAACCCATGCAAGACACAGCCATTGGTATATTCTGACTTATGCAACAGAGTCTAAGCTCTTCGTTCTCCCTGGAAAGGCCTTTCTTCCCTTCTCTGCATAGAAAATTCTTATTCAATACCCAGCTCACATGCTCATTTCTGGGGTCAAGCCTGTTTTGACTCCCTAGGCAGAACTAGTCACTTCCTACTTTATTGGTTTGTTGATGTCTCTGGAATGGCACTTATCATCTTCTAGTGTAATTATTTGTACCTTTGTCTTCCCTACTTTATAGTGAGTTCTTGGGAGCAAGGACTTTATCTCATTCTTTTTTTCATTTTCAGCATGCTGGTAAATAGTAGGTGCTGAAAAAGTGTTTGTTGAACAAATAGATAGATGATGAGTGATAAAAAGAATACTGCCACTGATTTTAACATAGGATTGTATATTTCTCTCTGTTTCATTGTAAAGGAGAGATACTGGTACCAAGTTTTGCTGGTAACAGTTTTTCACAGTTTCTGATGCTTAACTGCACAAGGTTACATAATGTCTTACCTAAACAATTTAAGCACGAGTTCTTAAAATGTTCTTTATCGACTATAATTTTTCTCTCTTACTTAACCCCTGACAGCATATATCAGTTGCTACAGCAACTTGTGTCACCTCTGGACTTCTTATTAGAAACATATATGTCTTTTTAACACCTTCCCATATTTCTTTCTTTCTTTACTGTCTCACACACACACACACACACACACACACACACACACACACACACACACACCTCATTCCCAGAAACAGAAAGTTCCCTTTCGTGCATTCTGTTTATAGGGAGTTGAGGAATAATACCAGGGGTGGGGAAGATGTCATGAAACTGATATTTTGATCTACTTCTAAAGTGAGTTGTTCCAAGTTTATCCTTTTGACCCAGCAATTTCTTTTGTAAAAACTGAATATATGAAAAAACAATAATGCAAAGATTTTTATAAAAGAATATTCTTCAAAATAAATTGTGCAAATTTGCTATGTACCATTAAAATCATGTTTTTGAAAAATATTTTTTAAATGGGGAACATGGTCCCAGTATGAATCTGATAAAAACAAAATGCAAAGTTATTAATATGGTTTGACCTAACTTTCATCTGTGTGCAGATGGGGTGGTGGTGAGGATTAAATGAGGTAATATCTATAAAGCATTTAGAATGATCTCTGGCAGATAGTAAATGCTATGAAACATCTCATAAATAAGCAAGTAAATAAATAAATAAATTTGTTGATGAACAGCCCAGAATTTTTGTTCAAAGTGGCATTTGAATGTAACTATTTTCAACTTCTTGTTAAATGTCAATAAGGTACAGACATAGATGAAAAGTCTTAACAGTCTCAAACACTAAGGCCAAAATAAAGCCTGATGCTAAAATAGAAGAAAGAGACTGGATGAGAACTTTAAAGCCAATAGAGGTGAATTGAGGAAAATCTACCTGGACCTCAACTCACAGTCCCTTGAATTTGCTTGCAATTGAGAAGGGGAGGGGTGGTGGTGAGCAGGAAATGGGGGGAGATAGGAGAGGATGAGAGAGAAGAGCAGACAACACCAACTGCGAGGCAGTAGGCTGGGCTCTTCTGGAAGAGATGACCAGTTCTCAGAGCAGGAATGACCAAGGAATTGCTAAGAATGGGATGTCCGAAGGTTGGTTTTAAGTTCTTTACTGTGCTCTGTACCTGAAACCTTTGGTGACAGTCTGCTGCATCAACCCAGTGGCTGGATTGTGCTTTGTGGGGTCAGGGATGGGGTGGTGAGGGATGTGAGGTAACAAATCTCAGAAAAGGGACAGTATGTGCCAGAGAAAAGTGCCAATTGAGAATCCGGAATTCTATGGAAACAGGAAATCAAAGCCACAGTGAATAGGAGAAATATAATTCCTCTAAGAATTTTTGGAGATACTAGGTGGGATGTTGGTCTTCCTAGCACACAGAATGAAGATTCTAGATGTTCTGTTGTGGTTAAGAACACAGTGACCCTGACAGGACAGAGGACTATCATCTGGGTTATAAGTCCAAGATGACATTACCTCTATGATAAAGCAGAGATGAAACAGAAAGGAAGTGATGGATAAAATAAGGAACAGTTGTAAAGAGACTAAAATACACACAAACCCCAAACCAAACAAAAGCAAGCAATAGCAGATTTAAAATCCACATTGAAGTTAGTAAAGAACAGAATTGATGTGGAAAATAGTGGAGTGCAAACTTGAGTAGTTCTCCTAGAATGCAGGTGGAAGGAAAAGATAAAAATGATTGAAGAGAAGATAAGAGATAAGAAGGACAGGGAATATAAACCAATCTACAGATTGTTGGTCTCTGATGGAGGAACTGAGCCCCAAGTCAAAGATGTAACGGAACATATTTTCTGGAAATGAAGAAAGAACTGTACATGCGGATTGAGCATGTGTCAGGCAAAATCAGTGACAGGAGAATCTTACAGAGACTTGCTCTGGGAGAAAGTTGTGTGTGTATTGTTTCACACACAGTGATGCAGAAAAGTACTCTCTGAGAATTAGGCAAGAAGAAAAAGCAGAAGCTTACTTGCCTTTTTTTTTAAAAAAGGAAGAAGAGTGGAAGGTAACACACCACCATGTGAATACTACTTATCGCTGAGTGGTAGGGATACAGATTGTTTTAATTTCCCTCTTTTGTGCTTTTTGTATTTTTCCAATTTTCTGAAGTGAATATGTATTACTTTAGTATCTTGACCAAAAGAAAGAAAAAATATTAAAAAAAAACTTTGCCTTTCAGTCAGGGACCAATAAAATCCTACGTTTCCCAAGGAGCTTTATTAAAAATGTTTTCTAACCCATCTGTACTTGGTTCCCCTCTCTGGCAGTTGAAGAAATCTGATGTTATTACCGTCTTTGCATTTCTGTGTCTGCCTCATGCTACTTACAAGTTTCCTTAAGGGCAAGTCTCCTTCAATTTTGAGCTCTTCGTGTTACTTATTCACTAAATAGGTACTCAAATATATTTTGAAAGAGTGTATGGAAAGCATAATTAGACATCTGAATCAACTAGTCAAAGATTTAACTTTAGGTATCTATATTAAATTCTTCTTCAGTAATCTATTTATCACTATGGGTCTGCCTTCCTTTAAATTCATTTGAAATAGGTTGCCATAATGGACAATGCTATCTAAATTATCTTTGGCAATTTTAGCTGTGAGTGACTTCTGGCCTGATGTCCTCTTCCTTCTGGGCTGCAAAAACAGTGTCAACATTCGCTTTCTAGCTCTTTTCATTTAGAGAAAAAAAAGTGACATCTAAGATGCTGAAAGCCCTACATTACATTTTATTAATTTAACTTGGCATTTGCAAATGAGAAAGAAGATCCTGTTTTTGTGCCAGAATTGGATGGCTCAGAATCCCAAACCCTTTCTTTATGTGTTTGTCTCAGTCAACATGTGCCACAATATTGTTGCATAATAAATAAACACCAAATCTCACTGGCATGCAAAAACAAGCACTTATTGCTCGCTTACACACCTGCAGTTGACTAGCGTCAGCTGTTGTAGGCTGAGCTTGCCTGGGCTTGGCCTGGGCTGTGGGTTGGGTCCAGATTTGCTCTACATGTTTCTCATCCTCCAGAATACATGGTATTCTCATGGAGAAAGAAAGGAACGCCAAGGACAGACCCAACCATGCAAGCACATTTCACGATTCTCTACTAGCCAAATGTTCTCTGACACCCCATTGACTATGGCAAGTTACATGTCCAGGCCCACCCTCAAAAGCAAGGGCAAGAGGTGCTAGGAGCGAATATTCACGGAACCGTAAAACAATCTACTACAATGTTGCAGCGCTTTTTTTTTTTTTTACATCTTTATTGGAGTATAA